TAAATCACACTCAATTATTGTAAGAATATCCTGGCCTCAGAACAGACTCGCCGAAACACATATCTCAAACCAGTTTTTGTCACAACAACAAGAAACAACATAAAAACACAAAAAAACACACCCAATGTACTTACTATTAAAAAATATCGCCGCTAAATATTCATGTTTTGCAGCAACAGCCAAAAAAAAAAAACTTCAAACTGTACTCGGGTGCATCTCGAATTACACTCGACATTTGAGGGCGGCTGGTTGCCACCCCCGGCCCCCCGACGTAGATAGTCAAAGGAACCCATAATTTCCTCAAACCAGTCTCTTTGCGCAAAATTTATCATCCCAAACATGACTCAAAATCAACTCAAATTCAACTCAAAACGACTTCAGCCCGAAAAATGTGATCAAACGATTTTCCTTATTGAATTTCCCTTCAAGCACCCTCGATTTCTCAAAATCTACTCGATTGCATTTTTGCATTTCCCTCAAACCACCCTCGATTTCTCAAAATCTACTCGGTTACATGTTTGCTAAAAAAAAAAAACGGCACCCAGAAAATACCTCAAAATCAACTCAAAATGTTTTTTTTGATAATCGGGTGATCCATCGCTCAAAATGACCTCAAAGTCTACTCGCGGCGCACTCGACGTTTTTGGCGTCGTTTTATAGCCCCCCAAAACGGCACCCTATGATACTCAAAATTTAGTCTCAGTCTCAATGTACCCAAACATGCTTGAATCATTTCTCTCTCCTTAGCATTATACCACCCCAAACATAACTCAAACTCAACTCAAATTCAACTCAATTTCAACTCAAAACAACTTCAACCCGAAAAATGCGATCAAAGTTTTTTTCTGTTTGAACTTCCCTTCAAAACACCCTCGATTTCTCAAAATCTACTTGATTGCATTTTTGCATTTCCCTCAAACCACCCTCGATTTCTCAAAATCTACTCGATTGCATTTTTTGCTAAAACATCATCACACGGAAAATTCCTCAAAATCAACTCAAAATTGTTTTGTTGATAATCGGGTGATCCATCGCTCAAAATGACCTCAAAATCTACTCGCCGCGCGCTCAACGTTTGTGGGCGTCGTTTTGCTACCCCCCCAAGTGGCGCCCTATGAAATTTTATATCTGCAGGTGTACAGACGCAGGCAGTAGAACGCAATAAAAAAACTACACGACCGCGCGGCCCGACACAAAACCAGAGGACAAATATAAAATATTGCAAAGAGAAAGCACACATGCTTGGGCTGCTAAGGGTTCCTTGCAGAGGAAAGTTTACTGATGATGAGAATGATGACAATGACAAGAATGACGAGAATGAGGAGAATCACGATGATGGTAGTGATGATGGTAGTGATGATGATGCTGATGATGATGATGCTACTGATGAAGGTTTTACCGAAACAATCTTTACACGGAGAAAACCTTTCCACACGGAGGCTTTTGCACACAAGGCCTTTTGAACCGAAGCTTTGAGACACAGGCGCTCCATACGCAAATAATATTCCTTCTGCGCATACATGCATTTATACACAAAACCACACAAACATATTTTACACACCCGCACCTTGACACACAAAAGCTTTCACGTGCGGATGTTTTCACCCACAGAGGCATTTACACACAGAAAACTTTGACACGCAAGCTTTTCACACACAAATGCTTTCACACCAGGAAATTTGCAGGTGCACATGCGTCTACACGCCGGAACTTTTACACATGGATGCCGTTACACACCGGAGCTACCCGCAACGGCTTTCACAAACAAGCAACTTTTACACAAAGGCGTTTGCTTGCAAAAGCTTTTGCGCGCAGCAGCTTTTACACAGAAGCTGTTGACCACAGATGCTTTCACACACAGGCCCCCTTACGCACACAGGTGGTTTTACACACAGAATGCTTCCACCACCATTTGCACAAAAAAGCTTTGAAAAAAAATACTTTCTTGCCCAAAAGTTCAAAAATACATTTTTGCTATAATATTTCAGTTTGCAAGCACAGGTTTAGGCCCAGTAATTTAGACCTCAGAGCTATTTGGAAAATCATTTTCCTTGCAAAATTTTTCGCGAGGAAGTTTCAAGATCGTACATTTTTGGCTTTGATGCCGAGGTTTGGTTTTGGAGCAGCAGGGTCTGTAGATCGCATTGGCGTGGCAGCATGAAGGTTCCTTGCTGCGCGTGCGTAGTCCGATGGCGCTGTGCAACTCAGTGGTTGCAGATCGGACTGGGGTGGTTTCATCAAGGTTCCTTGCGTGCAAAAGCTTTTGCGCCCAAAAACTTTCTGCGCGTCACGGCATCTGTTTGTAGAAGCTTCTGTATGTGAAAGCTTTCTGATTGTCAAAACGCCGGTGTGTAAAAGCTTTTGCGCGTACATTCTGTGTAAAAACGCCTGTTGGTAAAAGCTTCTGTGTGTAAAAGCCGGCCGCTGCAAAAGCGTTTGTGTGCAAAGTGTGTGTAGAACCGTTTTTGTGCAAGAGCGCCTGTGTGTAAAGGCTTCTGTGCATAAAAACTTTCTATATGTAAGAACGCCTGTGTGTTAAAACTTTGGTGTAAAAAGTGTGTGCAAACACATCTGTGTGTAAGAGTGTAAAGGTGCGTGGGTGTAATCCATTTGTGCGTAAAGCGTTTGAAACTCCATCCGTGTGTAAAAGCACCTGCGTGTAAAATCTTCTTTGTGCAAAAGCTTTTTGTACAAAAAAACCGTGAAAAAACTTTTGTTCGTAAAGTGTGTGCAAAAACATCTGCGTGTAAAAGCTTCTGCGCTTAAAAGCGCCTGCCTGTGTGTAAAGAGCATGTGTTCGCAAAAGATTTGTCTGCGTAAAAGCGCAAAGGTGTAAAAGATCTTGTCTGTAAAGCCTGTGTAAAACCATCTGTGTACAAGCGCCTGTGTGGAAAGGCTTCTCTGCGCACAAACTTTCTATGTGGTACAGGGCCTGTGTGTAACAGCTTTTGTGCGTAGCAAACATCTGCTATGGGTTAGCTGTTGGCTTTGCTGCCGTGAGATGAACCGAGGAATCGAAAATTGACGGAGGAATTTTCTTTGTGGATATCGGGACCTTATGGGCCCCTAATGTTTTTCTTGCATCAGTGGGAAAGTGAATCTCACTTGTTGGGTTGTAAAGCTGTTCGTTTTTACCGGGGCCCCCAAAATAGGCACCAGCGGATATTGGGACCTTGCATTGGTAGGTGGAGTTTTTTTGGTCTGTGTTAAGCTAATCACTCCTCATTCGGAACCAAGAAATCTGAGGTTCTATTGGCTATTAGGGCCTTATTGGGCTCCAAACAATTGGTTGGTATTGCGCTGCTGGATGGAAAATCTAAGCTTTGGCCGGTAAAGCTCTTCTTTTTACAAATGGCAGCATGTCTCCCAGGACATCTATTGCATGTCGCAACCAAGAAAAATATGGGATTGTTGGTTATGGCACGTTTTTTGGTTGCGCCAAGCGCTCTGGCCTGCGGCATGTCAGAATTAAAAGGAAACATAACTTACAATATATTACACCCATGTGCGAGCACGCGCTATTTTGTGTATATGTAAATACACATATACATATATATATATACACATATATATATGGAACGTATATGTATATGTCAATTCTCCAAGGAAGTTTCATGGAGGAAACTCCGAGTTAAGAGAGAGAGAGAGAGAAGATGTGAGTATGTGAAGGTAAGAAGATGTGAAGATGTGAGTTTGTGAAGATGTGAAGATGTCAGTGTGTGAACATAAGAGGATGTGAAGATGTGAACATGTCAAGATGTATAGCAGACCTCCACTTTTAGCAGAACCCTTCGCTCTGTAAAAGCTTGCTCTGTGTAAAAGCTTCTCTGTGTGAAAGCTTGCTGTGTGTAAAAGCATCTCTGTGAAAGAGCTTCTCTGTGTAAGAGCTTCTGTGTGTAAAAGCTTCTCTGTGTAAAAGCTTGCTCTGTGTAAAAGCTTGCTCCTTGAAAAAGCTTGCTGTGTGTAAAAGCTTCTCTGTGTAAAAGCTTGCTCTGTGCAAATGATTCTCTATGAAAAGGTTTCTCTGTGTTAAAGCTTGCTGCGTGCAAAAGCTTCTCTGTTTAAAGCTTTCTGCGTGTAAAAGCTTCTCTGCGCAAAGCCCTGCTGTGTGTCAAACCTTGCTGTGTGTAAAAGCTTTCTGTGTGTGCAAGCTTCTCTGTGTAAAAACTTGCTGTAAAAGCTTCTCTGTGCAAAAGCTTGCTCTGTGTAAAAGCTTCTGTGTGTAGAAGCTTGTGTGTGTAAAAGTTTCGCTGTGCAAAGCATCTCTGTGAAAAGAGGTGAGAAGAGTTGAGAACAGTTGGCAACGGTTGAGAAGAGTTGACAAGAGTTGAGAAGAGTTGAGATGGGCTGAGAAAGAGATGGGATGAGTTGAACGGAGGAGAGAAGAGATGGGAAGAGGTCAAAAGAGCTTGTGACAAATGAGAAGTGCTGAGACCTGAGAGGAGCTGCGAAGAGCTGAGAAGTCGTTGCCGCAGTTGAAAAAGACTGAAGCAAGAAGAGGACGAATTCACAGAACAGAGTTGAGAAGATGTGAGGCCTCACTCTATCTCCTGTAGGCAAAGCTTTTCTTTCGATCCTATAGTATAACATTCCTTGCTTTGGAACCTTCCGCTACCCGCATCGCACGGGTTTTACTTGAAAGGAATGGTTTGCAGCTGCCACCTGGCCCATTGCCACAATCAACAGCAAACATGTTTGTCATCATCACGCTCACAATCGCGTGGTGACTTGTGTCACGAAACAAATCATATTTTGAAACATTTCAAGGTCAACCTTGATATTGTATCAATGTGCTTACCCGATATGTCTTTAATACCAAACCAATCTGAATCTGGTCCTAAGATTCGTGAAGGCTTTCCAAGATTTCTTGCAAAGAAACTGTTGCTCTAAAGCAGTTTTTACCTTCTTCTTTATTGAACCAAAAGAACTTTCAAGAAAAGTTTGAAGATCTGTGGGTGCTGTGCTTGGCCGCTGGTAGCCTCAAGTTTTCCACCCCTGTCCTGGGAGATGGCCTAAATTCTCTGCTCGGTCCCGGCGGGCCCGACTTCGGAGCTTCACGGGCAGTTCGTGTTGGAACTCGGGTGAAGGGACCGTTCATCTCCAAGATCTGCAAACACAACCAGTCGGGTCGTTCAATGCGAATCCATTGGAGCGTTGCCTGAGTTGCAAAAGTTGGATAGGAATGGACAGGATACGAGACCAAAACAAGCTTTTGAAGATACACGACGTGTAAGACATGCGCTTAAGTACCCTCATTAGACTACCCAAATGTAAGCAATGTAAGCCCTTAAGTCTGTAAGACTCAGGACGAAGGCAACAAAATGACAGAGGCATCAGAGGCGCTGCAAACCGAGTTTCATCAATGTTGCTCAAATAGCCTGTGTGCTTCTTACTTTGGGTATGTGCCGCTGTCAGGTGCTTGTTGCACGCAGCACATAGTATGTGCCCCGTCTCCTGGTCTTCAGGGGCCATTGCTACAGCAAATGCTTGAGAAATGATTGTATATGGTTGTATAGTTCTGTATCAGCGCATCAAGTGTTTAAAATCAGGCGCAACCTAGTCCGGCCTGCTGAACAAAGAGATAAGGATCATTCAGCACCTCATCATCAGCACCAAGGCTCCTCAGCGATCCCCACAGCCCTCAAAAATAAAGTCCTTCAAAGATTTGAACATACCGCAGGATCATCAAGCCATGAAAACAAAAGACTCGTTTAAACATCAAACATTTGAACGCATTTGAACATCCCGATTCTGGTGAACATCTTGCTCCTGGCAAGGTGTTGAAGCCTCTCTGCCGGCGTTTGTGGTCCCGGCTCCGGGCATGCCACAACTGGTGCTGGCTGTGCTGGCTGTGCTGGCGCCACTGGAACCACCAGAGGTGCTGGTGCTGCTGTTGCTTCCTGGGGGGCCGTGTACGCGTTCATGCAAACCCGTGCCAGGCTCAGCAACAGCGGATGAGTCCTGAGATGTGCTCAGTTGCACCTCTATGTGACACGAACTTCTGCAGATCAACGAAAAAGCACAGGAAGTAAATAAATATTGCAAATCTTGGGCCTGCAAAGTATCGAATGGAACTCCCGCCAGCAGGGGCCCAAAAACAACATACACACACACACATGCGGGTCTGCCTCTGTCGGCGCCCCGTGTGCCTGATGGTGTAAGACAATGTAAGTAAAGACAAGGCTCTGGAAGAAAATCTGGCACTGTGGAGATTGAGAATTCCTGTGAGAGAGCAGGTTTGGAATTTCAGCAGCCCAATTCAAACTTCTGAAACTGTTTCATTGGCACAAAAAGGCCCTCAAGAGTCACGAATGCTGATATGTCGTGCACCTTTAAGCCCACCATGCGACCCCAATAAGCTCCAAGATTCTCACAGATCAAGAGCATGGCCAGCGCTAAAGAAGTCACGCGCTTTCTGTGGCGTTGGTTACTGCCCATTCCGCAAGCGGCGCTGTGGCTAGCCCTAGAAGCCTTGGCAGCTGGGTCCAGTTGATGTTCTGGCAGTCTGGCCTGACCAAACTGCATTGAACCCGTCGGCTCGTCCGCCAAGTTGCAAGGTAGAGCTTATTGGCGAAGCCTTCTGGCCATGTGGATTGGGCCTTGATGTTCGACATGATCATGCGATCCGCCTCTTCCTCAAAGTACTACTTAGTTGGAAGCAAATTCCAAGTGTGAAATAACTGAAATAGTTAACGGCTCATACTTAAACTCGATGTTGTCGCTCTATGACAGGACGTGTTGTGGAAGATGCCCATTTCAAGCGTGGCTCGTCCAACGCTGGTGAACACTCCCCTACAAACTCCACCCTCAACAAAGGCAACTCATGAAATGTCCTCGCGAAGGTCTGCGCGTGACACTCCCGGGCAGAAACGGTTTAACGCGTCATCCTTGGAAGATCACAGAGAGATGGAGCACAATCTGTCATACGCAACCCAGAAAGTGGGTGATCAGTGACTTGCAGTAGGCTATTGCCGCAATAATACAAATATATATATATTATTATGACAAACGATCTTTCAAGCGCAAGGCAAGTCCCCGCGGTGTGCATCGCTGGGCTTGAACTCAACAACTGTGCCCAAACCAAGCATCTAAGATATTGTGCGCACTTTGCGCGAGCCTCAGTCTTGGGCTAATGCCATGGTGATGGCAAGGTCGTGCCCACCCAAGACAGAGAGAAAATCCCGGTCAGGGTTCAAAGTTCTGCTTGCTTGATAAAAATGCCCGTGTTGTTGTTGAATCTGGCTAAATGTTGCTAATAAACCACTGCCTGCTCGCTTGCGCAAAGACACGCAAAAATTCTGGGTTACATTGGAGACGCCACGGGGTTTTGATGCGTCGATGTAGCTGACACTCTACACTCGAGAACCTTCTGAGCACTGGACCTCTCTGGGGGAAAGATTTTTGTGCCCATCTACATATCGACCCGCATTGCTCCACTTAGTACGTCGTATTGTGTACGGTGGTGCCATGATTCAATTCTGAATCCTCACCGTTTTTCATGGGCCCCCTTTCATCCCAATCAAGTGCAACACATGCAAGTCCCCCGTTCTGGCAAGGTAAGATCATATCCTGAACCTATCCAGTACTACACTGCGTATTCAGATTACTAAGCTCGGAGATCTTGGATCATGTGGATCACAGTGGGAGAGCTAAACCATGCTAAAGCTACCGCAAGTCCAAGTAGTCCAAGTCGCTCTGCGCTCTGCTCCATTCGCAGACAGAGCAACAGCTCACCAGGGTCACCACTTCGTCGGAAGGCCAAAGCATCCGCTTGTGTCGCCTTTTGCTCAGCGGACATGGCCATGGCACCTTTCGATTCAAGGCAAACCTAAGTACCTTTTCAGAAATGAACATGCCTACTGTTTACCCCACATTTACCACGCATTCTGCAGAAATGGTTGTTGAATGTTGTTACCGTAGATTACCCTATATACCTGCCTGAATGCTTGGAAAAATGCCAAGATTGCATTGGGCATTGGTCTGAACATAACATACTTAAGTTGTAACAACTGCAGATTTCGCCATTGTTGCAAGCTTCCGGGGCCTGAAATTAGCGAAGAAGGCGCGTCAGCAACATAAGTCGAAAGCATGGGAACAAAGTGCTGACAAGCTGACAGTTTTGGTAATTTTCATGAGGAACATGATGTTACATCATGCCATCTGATGTCGCAAGCCATTTTGCGCAAATATGCTTGAAGCCACAAGAGCGGCAGTGGCTGACCCAAAGCCCCAAGCCCAACTGAGGAATTCACACGACTTCTGCACACCAAGTTCTTTCAAGTTGGACATCAAACGTTGAAAGATGAAAAGAACATGGCAAGGCTGGAGAAAGTGTGGCCACAGCCCAGCCAAAGGTTACTGGGAGCAGCGTGCATGTTTCTGTGATCACTTACAAGTGGTCGTGCCTTTTTCTGCCCAAACAAACATGCAGTGTGCAAGCTGGCCCTAATTAGACTGCAATGGCACAATGAGTATTGAATGCACCCTATTTATGCGCAGCAATGCACCAAGTGCCGTTGCTGCACTTTCAAGTGCAGAAAAAGGCGGCAAAAAGGCAGCAAATATCTCAAATGGAATCAGGAATAAAGCTAGCACATGATAAATTGAGAGCGGCTTGACACGTCACTCTGGAGGTATCCATCGACGAAGACGCAGCTTGCGGATAGTATCCTGGACAAGAACTGTGCAATGATCTGGCGGTACCAGGTGGAAAGCTGGAGAAAGCTGGAGAAAGCTTGCAGCCTACATCGTATGCCACATGTGCCATTTCCTACAACATCCTGGAGAAAGCTGTCCTCTCTGGTTCCTATTGGTTACTATTCAACGCGGCAGCTGACATCCTTCGCCATGTCCAAGTCTTTCCGCGACAGTGCTCTGCCTTCCTGTCCAAGTTGACTGGGTGGTTGGATGATGTTGGATGATGTTGGGTGAAAATGAACATAAACTTCATCAAGAACTGAAGATGGAGAGGCAATGGTATGAAACACCCAGGAGTCTCAACAAACTCAAGACACGGGATGCAAACCTTTAGGACATGGGATCAAATTGGTTATGCTGCAAGAATTGAGGTCAACTTCTAGGGAGAATCTTTTTGGCACCTGTGAGTCCCAGAACACAAAATCAAGCATTCCGTCTTGACATGTCTTGACTGATGCCAGAACCACGGCCGGAATTACTTTGGAGACGTTGTCATGTCTGCACATTGGAAATTTGCCGCAGTCCAAAGCAAACTTCCCAGAGTTCCCAAACTTCCATGGAGCCTCCTGATAGCTCTTAACCCACTCTTCTGGACCTTGGATGGGACTGAACCAAAACAACCAAGTTGCTTGAGCTGAGCTGTTGAGCTGCTGGCATTCATCGGCCATTGGTGAAAAGTGTTCCAGCAATGGCTCTCGGCAATTGACCTTAGCTTAGAGGAAACCACAGGGAAATGCAATCCAACGGATCGAACTGGTGGTTTGAATCAAAAGAAACGGCGGGCTTCCAAACCAAAACGGAGAAACAAACAGTGAGAAAACACAAATTGGAATCGAACAAAGGGTATGTACTTTAGACACACATCAATACTTCATCTGAATTTGAGAGCAAGCAGGGGGGAACAAAGGGTATGTACTCGCGATAGAAGGTGATGAAAGGGAGAGTGCCGAGCAGATCTTTCGCTTAGTTCCTGTCAGGATCGATCCAGCAGATTTTTCTTGAGCGCAGTTGCAACATTCATGCTTAATGCTCACACACAATCAAAACCATGATCCTGGTCGTGATCACAGTGATGGTGATGGTGATGATGATGAGGATGACGATGATGACGATGATGGCGATGACGATGATCATTAAATGGTCTTCTTATTTTTATCATTAACATATGTACCGCACAAGGCGGTGGCGGAAGTTTCAGAATAGGAAACCTATAGGAGACGTTGGTTGTTGTGAATCACGGATGGCAGAGCGAATCCACTGATTGACCGAAAGGTGGTTGGAGTTGTGTTTGCTGGAGTGGTTGCAATGGTTGCAGTGGTCACCTCACCCACAACTGCTGGATGTAGGGTGATGTACTGCAACTGTAGTTGTAGTTGTAGCGTAGTGGAGTTGTAGTTGTGGTGTAATGTAATTAGTGTAGTGTAGTTGCAGTCATATAGTTGTAGCTGTAGTTGTTTTGTAGTTGTAGTTGTAGTTGTTGTAGTGGTTGTTGTTGTTGTTGTAGTTGTAGCTGTAGTTGTTGTGTGGTTGTAGTTGTTGTGTAGTGTAGTTGTAGTAGTAGTTGTTGTTGTAGGTGTAGTTTAGTTGTAGTTGTAGTTGTAGTTGTTGTTGTTGCTGTTGTTGTTGTTGCTGTTGTTGTTGTTGTAGTTGTTGTAGTGGTAGTTCTAGTTGTAGTTGTAGTTGTTGTGTAGTTGTTGTAGTTGTAGTTGTAGTAGCTGTAGTTGTTGTAGTTGTAGTTGTTGTGGTTGTTGTTGTTGTTGTTGCTGTTGCTGTTGTCGTCGAAGTTAGGGTAGTTAAGTTAGTG